CTGTTGTTGTAATATGGACTATCTGTGCACAAAACCTTGGTGAGTTATTAGTAAATCAAAAACGAAATGTAGATGGCGTGGTAACTAATCTCTTATGCACACACACAAAAAGAGACAACGTTATGAGATATATATATCAATTTCGAAAAAAAGACAACGTTATGAGATATATATATGAATGTAGAGAAAAGACAACGCTATTAGATATATATCAATGTAAAAAAGTCAACGTTATGAGATATATATATCAATGTAGAAAAAATACAACGTTATGAGATATATATATCGATGTAGAAAAAAAAAGACAACGTTATGAGATATATATCAATGTAGAAAAAATACAACGTTATGAGATATATATATGGATGTAGAGAAAAGACAACGTTATGAGATATATATATGGATGTAGAGGAAAGATCTAATAACGTTGTCTTTTTTCTACACTGATATATATCTAATAACGTTGTATTTTTCTACATTGATATAAATCTAATAATGTTGTCTTTTTTCTACATTGATATATATCTAATAACGTTGTCTTTTCTCTACATCCATATATATCTAATAACGTTGTTTTTTCTACATTGATATAATACAACGTTATTAGATATATATCAGTGTAGAAAAAAGACAACGTTATTAGATATATATCAGTGTAGAAAAAAGACAACGTTATTAGATATATATCAGTGTAGAAAAAAGACAACGTTATTAGATATATATATCAGTGTAGAAAAAAAGACAACGTTAATAGATATATATCAATGTAGAAAAAAAAGACAACGTTATGAGATATATATATGGATGTAGAGAAAAGACAACGTTATTAGATATATATCAATGTAGAAAAAAGACAACATTATTATAAATTTATATCAATGTAGAAAAAATACAACGTTATTAGATATATATCAGTGTAGAAAAAAAGTCAACGTTATTAGATATATATCAATGTAAAAAAGACAACGTTATGAGATATATATATCAGTGTAGAAAAAAGACAACGTTATTAGATATATATATCAGTGTAGAAAAATAAACGTTATTAGATATATATCAGTGTAGAAAAAAAAAGAAACGTTATTAGATATATATATATATCAGTGTAGAAAAAAAGACAACGTTATTAGATATATATCAGTGTAGAAAAAAAGACAACGTTATTAGATGTATATCAATGTAAAAAAGACAACGTTATGAGATATATATATCAATGTAAAAAAAGACAACGTTATTAGATATATATCAGTGTAAAAAAAAGACAACGTTATTAGATATATATCAGTGTAAAAAAAAGACAACGTTATTAGATATATATCAGTGTAGGAAAAAGACAACATTAGATATATATCAGTGTAGAAAAAAAAGACAACATTAGATATATATCAATGTAGAAAAAAGACATTATTAGATATATATCAGTGTAGAAAAAAAAGACAACGTTATTAGATATATATCAGTGTAGAAAAAAAGAAAACGTTATTAGATATATATCAATGTAAAAAAAGACAACGTTATGAGATATATATATCAATGTAGAAAAATACAACGTTATGAGATATATATCAATGTAGAAAAAAAGACAACATTATTAGATATATATCAATGTAGAAAAAAGACAACGTTATTAGATATATATCAGTGTAGAAAAAAAAGACAACGTTATTAGATGTATATCAATGTAAAAAAAGACAACGTTATGAGATATATATATCAATGTAGAAAAAAAGACATTATTAGATATATATCAATGTAGAAAAAAGACAACGTTATTAGATATATATCAGTGTAGAAAAAAAAGACAACGTTATTAGATGTATA